CGCTGATGATTCTGAGGCGGCCCTGGATCAGGGCATCGGCCAAGGCAGCCTCATCACCATGTACCTCAATCTCATCAGGGACCCACCCATAGTAGTCTGTGCAGAGGTCGGCAGAGGTTTGCCAGGCGTTGAGGATGGAGGGGGTAGGGTCAGAGGGAGGCAAGGTTGGGAGACCTGTACCAGTGAGGAGCACCCAGTCGCTACCGGAGAGGGGCCTCACTGTGGCACGCAGGACGTCAGAAGGCAAAGGGCAAGTCCACCAAGAACTTGGTCGTTGTAGGCTATCCGTCCCGCTGTGACCGCCAGATGGAGCATAGCGCCGAGAAGTTGTAGAGGAACCTACAAGGGCGAGATGGGTCCATGCAGCCCCCTCCCGATGAAACAGACCAACAGTCGGCGACCAGAGCCAGTTCCAAGACTCAAAGTTGTCGTGCCAATGTCCCAAAGGTTGGAGCAGAGGGTGGTGCTGACCGTGTGAAGGCAGGAGCGCGCGGGACAGTGTTCTTTGCCAGAGTTCCCAATATGGACGCCCGGGTCGTACCGTTTGAGGCCAGTTATATGCTATCGAAGATAGCCAACTGGCGCCTTCTTTTCGGGTTCTTCTGCTTGGTGTTTTCTTGGAGTGACTCTGGTGGGTTGTGGTGTGAAGCTGGTCCTTTTGAGTTGCGCGCAAAGCGTGCGACTCAAAGGACCAGTCTCAGATTTCCCGTAAGACGTGAAATCTGAGACTTGCTTGTCTGCCAGGCCTTGACACGAAACAATCATGTCAAGGCCCAACAGGGTGTGGTGGGATGGGAAAGAAAGAAATAACTCTATCTTTCTGTCAGTATACTTGCACACAAGTTCGATATGTGTAGATCGGACTTAGGTTGCTGGTGCAATACTGAGATGACGGTCGCCCTACCGTCGTTCATGGAGTCACTATTGAGTCCATTGGTTCGACCGCTTTCTTCGGTCTACGTTAGAGAGTCCGATAAGTGTCGTCGCGGAAACCGTTCCAGATGCATTGCCGGATATAGCGGCCATCAGCCGTAGTGATATCGGATACTGTGGCTACTTGCAGGAACATCCGGCACCAGTTAAGCCAGAGAAGGTCGTCCTGATCAACCTCAAGATCCATGAACAAGTCAATCAGGAGGGCGTCATGATGACACCTTAAAGATAGGGCCGGAGAGTCAAAGGCCATGTACATATCCAGAGATTCAAGTTCCTTCCATACCCGTTTAAGCCAGGTATCAGAAGCAAGAATGGATGTATTCTGGTAATCTTGCTGTAGAAGACCAAAGGAGGTACCGGTTTCCAGTTGGTGAGCCTGGAGATTGGCGTCCATGTAGGCTCCAGTCTTTGTACCCCCCGACATATGGCGCAGGATCATCTCCAAGTGTTTGTACACTTGCTTGCCAAAGGGGTGAGGAACACCAAGGCCTTGATAATCCACCGGGGCAAAGACCACCGAACGGGGAAAGTTGCGGCAAACACCTGACTTAGGTAAGCACACCTGGAGAACCGGTGACATAATTTCCTGCCATTGTTGAGCGTTGAGGGTAGTGAGTGCCATAGGATATTCCAGCTTCTTCATGATCGTGGTCCGGATCAGTGGTAACACGTCGTACTTGTGTAGCAGGTGAGGCAGAAGCTGTTCGGCCCACGCTTTAGCTTTAGAGACCAACTGTGCCTCCTGTGCTTTGTGATTTTCCAGTGGCGACAACATCACCCCCAGAGTACGTTCGGAATCATCTGGTTCAAGGCAACAAAGGGGTTCAATGTCACCGTATAACCCCGGTATCTTAAGGTCAAATTCCGGTGCCGCGGAGCATTTCCTACGGAATCTCCACTGACCATTGCAAGCATCCCATTCAAAGTCAATAAGCCACCAGAAGGACTTCTCCGGATTGATTGCACCACCTGTTGCCCGAATTCCCCCCGACCACAAGGTGGCAGCAGCCTGGACTGAGGCGCAAATATCCTCCCCAGAGTGATGGACTGTGTCACCTGCTTCAATCACGTCCGTATTGTCAACAAAACAGAAACATTGGGCTGTCACTAGTTGTGACTCTAACGCCGAAAGACATTCAAATCCATAGCCCATTGCTTCCATCATTGTAATTAACACCGAGCTCACCGAGATCCAAATGGGGGGTCCGGCACCATTCCCTTGCCCACAACCTTGGAATGGCACCGCTGACGGAGGGCGAAAGCTTCTCTTGGAGTCACCAAAACCTGTGCGAACACGGTGGGTAGCGGAGGAGAGCATGTTGAACATCGATGATAGGACACGCCATGTCAAGCCAAACCGCAACATTGTGACGATGGCCACCCAGTGGACAACACGGTCAAAGCAGGACTTGGCATCATTCGAGATCCACCCCGCTGCGCGGCGTTGAAGGATCAGTAGGTCCCACACTAATTGTTTAGACAAGGCCAGGTCAATTGCTTGATGACGTTTGCGTGAGCCGCATTGCCTGTCGGGTATCAAGGAGTGCGCTTTGGCAAATTGCATGGCTGCACGGCCCGCCTTCTTATTGTTTGCCTGGGCCTCGGAATTCATCAGCTAGATGGTGCGCATTTTAGATAGGCGGAAGTCTCCAGGCTTCTTTTCAATGGCAAAGTTCATCAGTTTCTGCCATTGAAGAGGAACAAAGCCTGTGGTGAGAGGAATGTTCCAGAAGAGGGCATCACAATGCGCTATAGATGGAGACTGGATAGCCGCCTTAAAGTGTTCATTATGTAGTCCATGAGGTTCGGATCCTTTATTCTCAGGGTTCCGCGACCAGAAGTACACGTGATCGTCCTTGGAGACTTGCAAGTGGACTGGAGAGTGCCCTTTGTGAAACCGGCAGTGAGATAAGAAAGAAGCCGTAGCTGGGTCCAACAGATCAGGTAATGTGTAATGGCCTTCTAACAATGCCAGGGAATTTACTTCAGCGTTGTCACCGGTATATTCGCTGTATAACGGTTCGGCCATAGGTGGAGTGGTATACGGCGCTCGTGTTTGATCATAGCGTGCCGTGTTTTCTTGCATGCACCCATCTTCTACAAGGCGGCGGTCAGTGATGGTCCGGAGACTTGTAGTGCCATCTGGTAAGTGTTCTTCAATTTGAATAGCCTGAAGGCCCCCTGAAGATCCTTTGCTCTGGGCGCGACGAGGGTGTCTTGCCTCCTCTCTTTGCTTCATTTGTCGTAACCAAAAGAATCTATCACGGGCCTTCCGAGACTTCCACTGCTGCTTCTTTGCGTCCTTGGTTTGGACTGTCAAGAAGTCTTTCCTCCATCGAGCTGCGTAGGTGTGTTTGGCCTGCTTGTACAAGGAGCGCTCTTGCTTCAGGCAGTCCTCCAGATCGACCTCTGACTTCCTCCAAGCTTGTGGCAACTCTGTCTTCTTCATCAACCGGCGAGCTTTGCGCGAACTCACACGGCAACCCTTCTTGCCTTTCAACAGAAGCTTCCACAGGCTCATACGATCCCAGAATCCCTGCATTTTTGGTGACCAGGGAACTTTACCTGGAGCTAAGGCCCGGCACTTCTCTTCCGCCTGGCGCCTCACAGTATACATTTGTCTGTGTAAACAGTTGTATTTGCGCACCAAGGAAGGGGTCATCTGGTGTCCCAGGTGGTCAATACGCTTATTCAGCTTATTCAATCTCTCCGGGATGGAGTACTTGGCATAACCTTTGTGATCCAATTGAATATATTTGCGGACAGATCGAGAGTCTTAAAGGGACAACTTTCTTGGCTTGAAGTTGGATTTCTGAGGTTGGAAGTTGCCCAAGGAGGCCAAAAGATCAATGTCAATCCACAATCCGCGATGATCGCAATCAAAGAATTCGTCAAAGGCGTAGTTCCCACCCGCAAGGATTGGTACGCCTGAAGTGGTGAAGATACCATCAATCGGAATGTTCCGTTGGTTGCGCTGGTGGGTCGCTTGCGGTGGCTGGTGTTTTAGGATCGCCTCCTCAAGACCGCAGGCCCGGAAACGGTGGCGGATAGACTGGGGTGCGTTAACAGTGACATCCTCGTTTGCATCTATACCCAAAACCACCTCACATCCTTCATCACGCCATTTGGTGATCTGTTTGCAAAGATTGTCCACAAAGGCTTTCCTTGGATTAACTTTTCGATTCACTGCATGAAAGTGAAGCCTGTGTTGTGCCCATACTGTAGATCCACCGAGGCCTTGCTTGTTGGGACAATACGCGGAGACAACCACCAAGTCCTTGGAGACCGGACCACGAACTAAGTCATTTACCTCAACCAAAGAGTCCTGAACATTACCCCCATGGGCTTTCAACTTCCTTCCTTGGAGACGAACATAGGCCCATTGTCCTAAACCCGTGGGGTCTCTGCCAGCTTCTTTAGCCCTGTGCGCCACTTGGTTCAAAACGGTTGCGATGCACCCGCCCCGTTGTACCGCCGAGGTGGCAGCAGATCTGTCCTGATGCCAATTGTAAGCTACCGATGAGTAAAACCCTTTTTGCTCGGACTTCATCGTAGCTTGGCGGAGTCTGTCACTCCAACCGTGACCTTCATTGATAGAAGGCCAAAACGTCTTGGCCTCTGCCAACAACGCAATTCCCACTCGTTCTTCCTTCAGGCAGGAGTTGATCTGTTGCTGCTTGAAGTCATTGCCATTTTCTGGTAATCCGTTGACATTCTGGAAACAGATTCGAGTAGCCAGTGAAGAATGACGGCGGTGATCATTGCCAGACCAATCCCCTGCAGGAAGAGAACGTAAATATTTGTCAAGTGAAGCATGAGAGACTCCACTTGACGGGCCACTAATACGGGATCTTCTGCCTGCACGCCGTGACCTAGCTGCAGACGATTGTGGGCCTCTCATGGCCCCTCCGCGGAGCGGGAAGCTCCGCGGGCGGACCGAGAGGATTTACTGGCGCCATCACTGTGCGCCTTCCCAGGAGGAGGAGAGAAGAATGGAGACCCTCCACCTTGCGGAGTAGACGCAGTAAGAGATGAGGTTTGGCTCTCATCTTGAGACGCGGCAGTAGTGTTGTCCCCTTCCATGTGAGACGTGTCTACTTGAACAGCCGAGGCCGCCAAGGGTTGGGCAGAAGATGGTTCCTGAAATTGGACACCTGCACTTGTACGGGCCTTCTTGGCTGGTTGTTTTGGTGGCTTGCCCTGCTTGGTGGCCTTCTTTGGTTGTGTCACTGTGTTGGGAACCATAGTGCTCTGCCCGGTGGATGACTTGCCTAAGGTTCTGTTGCTAGATCTGACCGGTGGAGTCAATGCTTGACGGTCAGGAGACACGCGATTGTTGTGGGATAGAGTGGGAGATGGCTGACTCATCATGGTAGGTAGATGGCTGGCCTGACTCTGGAGGGCAGCAAGCTGTGCTTGCAGTGCCGCATTGTCCGCACGTTGTTGTGCCAAGGCGCGTTCCTGAGCCTCCAGTGCATTGTCCCAAATCTCAATCTCATTGAAGGCATCTTCCAGTTGTTGCTCTCGTTCCTGCATCTCGTCCATCATTCCCGTCACGGTCTTCCCATCATCAATGTCTTTGTTGTTAGCCATATCCAAATCAATCGAGAGTTGACCATTGTAGACATCCGTTGCGTCTTCCATCACATCATCCAGGAACTCCAGTGCTTCCTCAACCGCGTCTGGAGAGGCGGTAGCCTCCACAGCACGAAGTGTGTTTGTGCACCATCTGAGGTTCTTACGCCAAGCCACACTGATCTCTGATTGCGGAACCCATTTACGGAGGGCTTGATCGGTTTTTGTCAGAGTTGGCTCATACAGGTGATGAGTCAGAAAAGGGACCAAGCCCTTCAAGACATTACGAGCCAATTGTCCAAACTTCTTGCGACACACCAGGATGTAGGTGCCCTCCATCTCGCCTGGTAGAACCATCAAGAACAGCGGACCGGACTTGTGACGCTCCTGATCATTCTTCAGCTTACGGTCAGCAACCTCAGCCATTTTCCGTTGGGCTGGGGAGAGATCGTTAAGGAACGGATTCTCATTATCAGTGATCAACTTCTTCTTCTTCTTTGCCTTCTTTTTCACCTTTGTTGCCGCCTTCTTAGACCGAACTTCTGTGAATTGACCGCCTTTAGAGCCAGAAGATTCATTGGGATCGTCGTCAGAAGAGTCATCGTCTGAGTCATCGTCGGAGTCATCAGTCTCAGTTGTTGATTGATGGGCATGAGAAGCTTTGTCGGCTTGAGCTGGGGTTGCCTTGATCGACAAGAGAAGCTTAAACAAGGTGCATGAGCCAAACATAGTAGTAGTTGCGAACTTGAACATCCCAGGAAGATCCATGACCGAATACAGGACCTCTGTCAGGATGTAGTAATCACGTAGTTTGCTAATAAGGGTGAGGGTAGCATCCTTAACCGGACCGTAGGCCTTCACACTGATCAATCCCTGTTGAGCAGACTTCCAATCACTGATAAATGTAGCCGGAGCAGCGAAGGGGAAGTCTGGCTTTGCTGTGGATGGATTAAGAAGGCTTCTTAATTCTCGATCGACTCTTTTGGCATGAATCTTGCGAGCGTACCCATGAGGACTTGTTACACCGGGGGAACGTTCGTTGAATTTAGCACGTCCTGTGTAAGGTGTAGAAACCCAGTCCATCTTGATGCCAATAGGGATAGAGAAGTCAAAGTGACGCATGATTTCTTTTGCATAGGCGTCAAAATTGACCTCCGGCAGGATAAAGGCAAAGCAACCCACTTTAACAATGTCCCCATATTGAAGCGGCGATGGGTAACATCCGGCACCGCGACCCTGGGAACGGAGACCAGTGTGAAGATAGTCCTGTACCGCCTCTTCCGACGTGTCCCTTGCAAAGCCGACCCGCATTCGGGTACGTAGTTTCTTCTCGCCAGGCTTGCTGTTGGTTGCTGCATAAGGAGAATTCCCATATTCCATATTGCAGTAAAGACTCAGGGCCCGGCAGGACAAAATTATGTTGCGCAACTCAACCGAGTTCCGGATCCACCGGTTCTGTTGTTTATAAGTGTCGTCGGAGATAGGAGGGATCTTCAACGTGTGAAAGGAGTTGTTCAAAGCTTCCTCCATGGATGTCAGCACCGCAGATAAAATTGCCTCAGCAACCGTGCCGGAGTCCGATCCCGAGTAATTTGTCGCAAATGTGGTCTCGAAAATATGACATCTGCATGTCATCCCATCCAAGTTAACTTGAATTAATTTGTTAAGTTTCTCAGCAAGAGTGGGCGGTGGAGGTAGGCGACAAGTAGGTGGAGGTGTATGTATCAATGAAGAGCTGTCCTGAGAGACCTGAGTTGGGCTTGTCAAGCTGTCAACCGCCATGTTGTCATCTTCTGACCTCACCAGTGCTTCTACAGATTCTGTCTGAACCACCCCACCGTTGCTCACCGCATCATCATCCTCATTATCATCATCATCCTCATCTCCGTCGTCCTCATCATCTGAAGAAAGTGGTGGGCGTCTTGGATTGTTTCGGACCTCCGTCACTAGTATTTCATCGTCATCATTGTCCTGATTTGGTTGTTGGTAGGCATCACCGTCAATAGTAGTGGCATCGTCGTCCGCAGCCTCGGCATTGTCAGCATTTTCCCCACTCGATCCGTCATCATCCACCAGTGCATCATATCTATTGTCG